GTCATTCTTAAAAAAAACCTCATCATTTGTTTCTTAGTCTACAGTTTTAGGCACAGTTTAATTGCCCGTATTCTTTTTGGGAGAGAGGGTTCTGCCCTCTGCTGTGATCACATGTCCCAGATATGAAACTTTATTGAGAACAAATTGCAATTTGGACGGATAGCCTTGTGACCATTTGCAGCCCAAAAATATAAGTAGGATAACTGTAATTATAAATTACTCTAATCTGCATGCTTCTCCTGTGGGGCTGCAAATCATGATGTCATCAACATATTGTAACAAGGCTGAACCATTTTATAAGTGTAAAATTAGCCAGATTGTCTCTCACGGCTCTGTTAAATACACCAGGGCTTTATAATAACCCAGGACCCCGGGTCCAGATAGAGCCTCTTCCTTTAAAGGAGAAGGTAAACCAAAATTGTGCACAACTACTAAAAAGTATTCGCCAAGAAAAGAAAAAAAGAATGCATTGGCCAATGGAAAAATGGGTCGTGTCTGGAGGGATGAGTGACATAATGATGTGTGGATTAGAAATTGTAGGTGTTCGCGGGTGCACCGAAGCATTAACTGCTTGTAAATTTTGAACAAATCGTCACTCAGTCGGTTCCCCCCATGTCTCGCATTTTCTTCACCGAAAAATTGGTTTGCGCACCGGTGACTGATCACATGATATTACACCAGCCTTCAATAAAGACTCAAAAACGTGTGTAATACCATCAATAGCCTTTTATTTTAGTGGCTATTGTTTCATGCATGGACAGAAATCTAATTGTGGGTGAACCACCAGAGGTGTCCCCCCCCAGTTCTACGTCATATTTGTGCGCAGACCATAAAGAGGAGGCACCTCGGACAGCTCAGCCATGTCAACAGATGGAACATTTGAAACCATGGTGTGTGCTCTTATCAAACATAAGATGAGTGACTCTTTTACTCCTGGCAATGATGTACATCTTGTCTTGTAGACATTGCCTTTCCTACTGTACAGTTTATCAGGATCCTACCTGGGACTTAAGTCAGTGAGTTCAGTCTGCCTATCCAGCCAGTCAGATATGTTCTTCTCCTCCATTCCTGGGCCCATGCCAATTTAAGGGCCACATTTTCAATGATACATACGGACACCCCCCCTGTAACAACTCAGATTGTGTGGGAGACAGAGAAACAGAGGCAGCTGCAGTATTTTCTGTCCAATAAATGTCCATCATACATAACTTCTCTATCTCACTCTCTCCTCCAAACCATACTTCCTCAAATCTCTCATGTGGTCCTTGTGCCGTGTGCAATGTAGTGAATTAACGTAACATTCTGCATGTGGTGAATGTTGTGAGGCAAAATCAGTTAGGTGTGATGCTTGTACCGCTTACAGAAGTCCTAAAGACCACTCGTAGATGTACAACAGCTCTGTTGGGTCTCATTTCATTTATTTGTATGATTTTTGTCTGATCAATATCAGGCCATCAGGGCCCGATGTGAGGATTATTCCAAATACATACATCAAATCTCTTTCTAACCAATTTATAGGGTAGCACTCAGACAACAGAAATTAGATTTTTACTGTGATATGATCTAGTGTACAGGACAAGTCTTTGTGTATGGCTCACTAATTGGTATGTCTCCTGAGCCAATAGTCCCACAATACCTTCCACTCCTTTTGGGAGGGACAGGTAAAGCAGACGTATGGAAAACTGAATGTGTGGCTCCTGAGTCAACTAAAAATGTAACATTTTACCTTTTAATAGTTAACATAATCGTGGTAACTTTCCAAAACCTTAATTTTTCATTAGAATACACATGGCATGTGGGTGTTAGTGGTGTCCGTCTAGTTTCTAATGTGTGTTTTGAATGTACAAGGTTGTCATAGTCAGAATCTAAAGTTAACTCACCCTCTGTGTCGTAATGTGTGTGCGTCCAATGGTCCATCACTGGGGTTCGCCCCGCCGCGCCTGCTCCTCCCCTCAGTCTGATTGTTGAGCCTCCCCACCAGTCTTTGTTCCATGCAGATTGGTGGCAGTCTCTTCTCCTGTGTCCGGATTGGCCACATTGATGACACACAACGTTTTCAGCTGGTGTGTGTCTCAAAGTCCCTTCTGTTTTGCGCTGACAAACTCAGTCTTTGCTTGTTGCAGTATTCCATATCACACAACTCTGTTAGGTGTGATGTGTTCCAGGTTCATGGATGACATAAAAAGCCTATTTACAAAGTTCAGACAGGGCTGTCACTGCATGGTTATACGCCATTGTCGTATATAACACACTGCAGGTTGATTACGGCTGGTGCGAATGCCGCAGATATTTTATGATAACGCACAAAGGAGGTAAAAGTTCTCTTGAATTCTGTGAATTTGCTCTTCGATCTCTCCACATGAGTCATGGCTTCTTCTTCTTCACGTCTTCTTTTTCTGTTGTAATGTCCTCTTTGTCTCGCGTTCAGATAATCCAGATTCATATTGTCATCAGTGTTCATGGACGAGCTGTAGTTGTGAGCGTTGACATGGTGCCTGTAACTTTTGATGAGTCTCGTCCTTCCTCATCCTCGGAGTGCTGACTGGTGGGTTTTGGCGGTCATGTTGTTTTGCCTGGGGAGCATACAGCAGCGGCGTTGCGGAGACCAGATCAGGATCCACTCGACCATGTAAAACAAAAACAAAACAAAAACAAAAAAACAAAGTTCAGCAGCATATTTTCCTTTTCTATCAGTTGTATATGTCTTATTCAAATATATTTGTTTCTTTCTTTACCTTCTCACGACTTTCTTTTCCTTTTTCTTTTCTGCTTCGCCTCTTTCCTCTCTGCTCCAGACACGGTTTGAGTTGATCCAATTTTTGTTGTAGGCTAAAGTTGCCTTTTCCAGGGAACCCCAATTTTGTCCATTTTCAATTGTTTGGCCGTTCGATTATCTTTGTCCCACATGTATTTTATTATTGGAGGTAAGACCTTGGCATCAGGCTGCTCAGGCTCAGACTAACTTTGACTCTTACCCACCTTCTCTAGTTACTGTTGATTCTGGCATCTTCAAAACCCAATCTGGTCCAATCAATCAACTTGAAAGGATACACCAAATCGTCTTTGAAATACTACAAGTTCACCAGGACACGTCTGTCCGCCCCCACCCTAACAGTGTGCGAGAATACCGGTTTACCAACTTCTCTCTAGTTACTGTCTTAGAATCTAAGAACATCTGGTCCAATCACTCAACGGATTGAAAGGATACCAAACCCCTCAAAAACCTCAAGCCTACTAGGACCTAATGTCCAGCACTCTAAACGTGCGAGCACGAAGTTCAACCATCAAAGTGTCTGCTCCATCACAAGATAATCTCTCACCGAGTGGGATTCTTTTTCCGGTTCCAGGATCGGAGCAGCAATCTCGAACACCGTCTGACAGCCTCTCACCTTCAGGGAGGAATAGCTATATTGTTTGCGCTTCTGTCGTCTAACGGAGTCCTGATTACTCGTCCGATCCCATCCTCGTCGCCATTTGTGGTGGAAAAAAAATCTTTTTGACCTCCCAGTGAGAAATAATCACGATGGAACTTCTTAAAGTATTAAAAACATATTTAATGAACAGACACTTCAATCATAATTCAGCTGAATGGATAGAGCTCTTTCCCCACGAATTGTTCGGAGGTCTAACAATAATAAAAAAACAAAACAGAGTATATATGCGCGTTATCTCGTCTCCTCTCCCTTCACCCTCCCCCTCGCAGATGTTGTTGGCCGCTGCACCCATCAAGGCCAGGTTCCCAGCCTTTTCGTGGGAAGAGGGTTAGGCTGGTATATGCAGGTTTAAGCGATACAAGTTATAACTAAAAGAACCATATGATAAATTTCCACAACATAGTGTATTTAAAAACAATTATTAAATTACAAAATAGATATAGCTTTGTGATTCTGTTTCGGCCAGCAGAGAAGGCCTTGCAGGCCCTGACGGCCCACCACTGAGTATAATCAAGTCCCATCTATCCAGTTGCATGCTCACTACTTCACAAACACATGCATCTTCACTAAAGCCTTATTATTCAAAACAAAATCGGTGTCACGCAAATGTTTTGCATAATAAGGTTTCAGCAAAGTGGCATGTGGTTGGGGAGTACTGAGCTGGATAAATTGGGCTTGGATTGTACTGCATGAGTTGTATGAGAATTGGTAAACAGATGTTTTGATATAGTTTTGTTGTTTAACACGTCCCTAATTTACATAAATTCATTAAGACTTCTCCGTTTCTTTATTCACTATTTATCGAGGAGGCATGGGAGAGAAACAAAGTTTTCTTCAAGAAGAAGAAGGGTGAGTTATTGATATACAACTTTTCATTGGGGGGGGGGGGGGGGGTGAAGTATTTCTTTTAATCAGAGAAAAATCTCCAAAACAAAAAACTGATTACTAACTTGAAGCCACTGAAAACTTGGGTTAAAATGTTAAGATTTCTCTATTGCAGTAAATAACAATCAATGCAAAAATGAAGGTAATGCTAAAATAAAATATTAAAACTGTCATTTTTCTAAAGTTTCACTCAATACACTCAAACACTAAGCTAATCCGCTTCATCAGTCAGCTGTGATCGATAGTGGCCGAGAGACATCAGCAAAAAGCTCAACAACTTCATCACATTTGACTCAAATAAAGATAAATCACTAAGATTGGTGTTGAGGATCAGCTGTTTTACACAGGAGCCTAGCTCACTTCACTAGTTCCTAGCTCCTCCTAGTTCAAAAGGCTCAGACACATCAGTACAGACAGAGACCTCTCACACAAGAGAACCAGTAGGACCCCATTCCAAGCCTCTCCAGGGCCTTTGACTGTTGGTATTTATTGGATCTGTAGTTTATACTGAACCTTTGAAAACATTTTTCACTTTCTTGTATAACTCTTTATATTTCCTCATGGTAATAATAGGAACAGAAATAAATGTTCCATACCGCACAGCATTAAAGCCTTTTAGCCTTAAAGCTCAATCCAATCAGAAGTTCTTATTCAGGCAGAAAAGACTTATTTTCTCAAAAGTTAGTTTGAAATAAGCTTTAATCATATAACAGTCATTGGTTAACATCAAGTGTACATTTTCTGTTTGGCTTAAGGAATCAATAGAAGTGCATAAGAGTGACTTTACATACAGTACAGTGGAATGGTTTGTACACCCCGAAAGTTTTAAAGTTTAAAAATGTCAAAAAAGAAAGTCTAAATCATTTGAACGTTTTTTCAAAATAAGGGCTGTGCTTGGCAGTTGTGGATATTTTTGACCACTATTGATTTGATCAACATTGGTAGCTGTTTAACATTTAATTAACATTTCAATTGAAATTATTTGTACGTAATATATGGTTAGAATATGACTGTTGTCCATCCAGATTTAGTGCAAATGTACAAGACATCAACAAAAGAAAATGTGAAATAATATGTGTTTCCATCCACTACTGTGATGCAAATATTTGGGCGTAAGATAAAAAGTTGGTGGTGTTAATTCTCCAGTCAGGTGCCATAAACCATTGCAGAGGACAGAAGACAACGAGATAGGATAATTAAAATGAAAATATGGCATTTCATGTATTCATTTGAGTCATCGCTCCACACAGTCCTGATGTTTTTGTCTGCTGCAATCTTTGGTCTCTTCAGTGGATGTCACATGCTTCATGTCATGATTACTTCACCGCGTCCGTTTACATTGTCACATTTTGCATTTATTGATACACTAACTTTTGCACTTTTTTTTCAAATATCTAGCATTTCCTCTCAGGTTTTTTGGTGTGTAAATAGTGGAAAGAAGTACACTTCAAAAAGAAGGTCTCTCATGCTCTTCCTCTTGATCTGACAATGCATTGACTTACAGTGGGGGCGGGGCATAAAGAACATTTTGATCATTAGAACATTCATTCAATGTGGATGTATACTATTCACTCACATATCCAAAATCATTAAATCTCACATTCATGTTCTTAACATTGATTCAAATGTGAAGAAGGTGCACTATGTGTTATAGACAGAAATTAATCTATATGTAAAGCCGCTATGTCTGAGAACATGTCATCCTCCCAGGTTAGGGTTAACCCTAACACACACACTGTACCTATTATACTCAGATGAGTTCATTTTCTACATCAGAACAATTTGAAACATGCTATTATCACATACACATTTGGCACAGAGGCTTCATACATCACATGTTCATGAAATAAATTGAATTTTTAATGTAATAAAAAAAAAATCACATTTTCCTTTCAAAGCAGCGCAACAAAATGTGCAGAAACTCAAGGAGTGTACACACAATGTTGCACACACCTGGAAGTGTTCACATGGCTTGCTTGTCTTCACTATTGCAGTGTTTACTGAGAATGCCTCGTTGGTGCCATGGTGGTGACGGTGTTAAGGGGCACTGACGTTTCACAGATATCCAACGGTGCAATCAGGTGCAATGAGGCGGAAACGCATGAATTACCAGCTGTAAGGGGAACATACACACTCGTTAAAAAGACACACCTCAAAAATACTGCGCCCATAACCAATGTACAAAACTATGGATGCACCAATATGGTTTTCTAAAGGCAAGATATTCCCAACCAACAATAACCTGCAAACAGATTGGAAATGACTCTCCATCTGTAGCGGTTGATACTTTCAAACGTATGGGGTTAACTGGTTAGATAGTGATAGTGAGCACTTTTTAAGTCAAGTCAAATCTTAATACACATATGGCATTATATGTACAGTGAAAGAGGTACTGCTCTATCCATACTGGCTGTGAAATCATCCCCATTGTGCGACTAACTTTAAAGAGAGTGAAATCAATGGTCGTGAAGCTAAAATGACAACTTGGGACGTGATTCTCTCGCCCACCGTTAACAGTGTAGTCACGTTAAGAAGGGATGTTGTTATGGGGCGTCCTGGTGACTCGTGGTCTAAGGAGCTGGGCATTGAAAGGTCCCTGGTTGTCAGGCTGGGACATGTCTGTTGCATGTCATGCCAGGAAAAATGACTTTAACATATGAAAAAAAAAGGAGGAACTCACTTCAGCCTGTATGGGCAGAGGGTAGAATTACAATAACTCTTTCACCGTACATATGGCATGTTAGTATTGTATTAAGTTATATACATACCTATATACACACTTTGCTTTTTTAAAGATGCCCATCTTCTGGTGAACAAGAGGTTTAGAAACACATTGATATTGACTTATCTCAATAAATCAATACATGTTGACAGTTGTATGCAGTGCCATAACCTAAAACAAAATAAAAAATAAAAACTTCCACTAACAAAACTCCTCACAGATAAGCAGTTCAATTATTAATGGACTGATAGAAATGGTGCCTTTTCAGCTGATGTATCAATGCATCAGTATAAACACACAACACTGTCAATAAATAGGTTCACCAGTTATTGCTCAGTTTATATCTTTCACATTTTTTGAACCTCAACAACCTCATTACAATGTGAGGAGTGATAAAAGGATCTTATGTTGATCATATAACAAGAGTTCAGACTTCTTAAACAACAGAGCTGGAAAAAGCACCTAAATCCCCAAAAGGGTGAAAGACGCCTAAAGAGCGCGTTCCGCTGTGCCTTCATGTTTTGTTTCTGGTAAACATGCGCTCCCCTCGCAGGGTGAGGTGCTGTAGTTGATACTGTAACACCTCAGTGTCTGATGATTCTTTGATACTTATTTTGTCCAGATTAAGGTAGTCCAGAGACTTGGACTGGGCCCTCTTCCCTTTAAGCAGACAGAGGGGTAGTGGAGCATGCAGACCCCTCCCAGGCTCCCCGTGGGCCAGGGACCTGAGGAAGGTGTCACTCGAGCTGGGCATACGCCTCCGTCTCCGCCCGTTGGTAGTAGGAATGTCGTAGGGTTGGTAGTGGCGGCTTTTACCTTTGCAGATTCGTGAAGACCGGTGGATGCCCAAGTCAACAGAGTTGGGGACAGCGCTCTCGACGGAGCTGGTCATGGCCTCCGATACAGAACCCTTCTCTGGAGTGCCTTCTGACCACTTGTGGGCCAGCTTGAGCAGCTCCTCGCCAGTGGTGAAGCTTACCAGATAGTTTGAGTCCATGTGGAGGATCTGGTACCCTGAAACAGTACCTCTGATAGGTGAACACGGGGTGCTGGCACAGCGAGGTCTCTCCGCTTCTGGTTTCAATGTGGCTTTGATTTCAGATGTAGGAAGAATGGAGACATGTGCCCTTGACACTCCATTAATATCCATTTCCATCCTCACAGACATGTCCTGACTGATGAAAGGTGGAGAAAAAACATCACTTGAGTCACTCTGGGAGCAATACATCTGTTCCACAAACATCACTCAGGTGCCATGCTCACTAAAGATCTTAAAGGCATAGTTTGGATTATTTGGAGTTGTATGAGGTACTAATTCATAATCGCGGCATTACCTATTAGACAGACAAGAGTACCAACACAGAGGTAAAGCAATATACCAGCAGAAAAACACATTTTAGCCACTTAAAAGATCAAAAGTCAATCAATGTACGCTATATTTAGAATATTTACACCTCTTTACCTTAATGTCAGACAGCAACAGGAAGCTGAACTGAAAGTGAAACTTATTCTCTCTTCAAAGCCACCAGACTCCAAAGTCAAAGATAATATAGATACGTTTCATTTTCAGTTCAGTTCCCCGTCGGAATATTCCAGTGAGTGCCACTACTCCACTTATTCACATGCTGTTCACATCGGCCAACACCAGCAACCTCTGACTGTCTCTCTCCTTATTCCTACTCATTTATTCTTTCACATGTTCAGCCTTCTGTCAGTCATCATTGGGACTTTATCGATATATTATACCTGGGCCATGCATGTTCTATAGTCGGCCTATAATACTCCAGTAATATTAAACTGAAACAGGGCTTTCCTGTTATATGTCACCTATCTATTGCTCTAGAATGTATGCTGCTCGTACATATTATGCAGCAAGATAAAGACACATTCTGAATTACTACAGTGAAAAAAAAGAGAATTCATAATTTGAAGAATTCTGACGTGAAAGTATGTGATTTTACATCATTTTGGAAGATTATTATTGCTAGATAAAGCCCTGAATGCTTAAAGACTAAATGTGTTATAGCTGAATTATTATTTTATTATTTTTACAGCCTTCATCTGAATATTTAATTCCTGTGGAAAAGTTTACCCTGTAAAATCATATTCTGTAAATCAAAAGAGCCGATTCAGAAAACTTTTAAATAATGTTTACTTGATTATATTTGTTCACAAATAAAAAGTTCTGATGAACAGTTTACAATTTACAAAAAGAACATGAAGAATGAGTCGATATATGCCGTGCTGTGTGTGCTCCAGCTTGTAGAGATGAGGCTCCAAACGTTGGAATGATGAGCCAGTGAAGCTGATGTGCAGAGAGAGAAGAGGTGCTCAGGAACAAGTCATGGTACGCCCAAGAGTCAAATGTAGAAGTGCCCGTACTGCGTACCGGTAAGTACCAGCCCACTTTAACACTGGAATACTCTAAACACATCGTACGCTTAGAGCCAGATTTGGTTTTTTTTAGATGGCCATTTATTTTAGGTGGCTAAAATAGGTTGTGCTGCTGTCCCCGTCCACAGCAGTACATTGCTTAGCTTTCATGCTGGTGTTCCTGTTTGTTTCTGTAAACTGGAGGCGTGCTGACCTCCATCTGCTGCAGGTAACACGTACTATAAGTGCCTCATACAACACACTTCAAATGTTTCAAACCATCCCTTTAAGGCATGAGATCCATGGCCAGGTCAGTCCTGACACAAAGACTCTTAACTTTTGATCTAAAATGTATATTTCACTAATTCTAATGGGCTTTTTATTAATGGCTATTTTGATTGTGGTCCAATACGCCAGAAAACTCAAAGCAGTCCAGTTACAAATCAGAGATAAAGATTTGCCGAACTCTACTGGGACTCTAGGAAGATGCAGTTGCAGCACTGATGAACGTGGAATATCTCTGAATGTCGTTAAAGTATTTCACCAAACCAAAGAGGTGCTTTTCAGACCCCACTTAGTTTAACATAAATAGATTAAGATTAAGATATCATAGATAGTTTCATCTATGACTTGGTTTAAATAGCTTTATCTGCCGTGCTTGGTGAACAGCGAAGCAACTGGTCCCCCATTTTTCAAGTAGTCTTGTCAATTTTAGGACAATCCAGGAGGACGAACGGAAAATACACAGCAAATGCAGCCAGGGAGTTTTTCAATGACTCAGCGTGGGATGGAGTCAACTGGCATCGTCATGACCTCAGTCCAGCTCAGCAAGTTTGTCACACAGACTAACTTTTCCACGAGTAGGTGTTCCAACTTCCTCAGTATATACCGATAGAGATAGATAGATAGATATTGCAGCAGACTAAATATATACAATAAGGAACTTTTACATTTGTAGAGTCCAGCTGTATTTTTGCATCATTACCCCTCTTTTATTTGTTTAAATGTGCCGACACACTTCCTCGCTCATAGCTCCTCCGACAAGCCTCCTCGATACTCAAGGGTACTTCTCAAGTCTCTTAATGTCATCCCCGTTTCCCTCACTTGGGTCCTTTCCTTGCGTCTTAGTCCCTCCCACCAGGGATGCATGGAGGAAACCATGCGAGGAGAGAGGAACGAGGAAATATGTTTTAAAATACATGAGACGTCCTTTCCTCAGTTGCGTCACGTGAAGCGACGTCTGTTTCTGATGACGGAGGATCAGCGGATCACAGCTGGATCAGCTGTCAGTCGGCTTTAACAGCTGGAGAGACTTTTGAGAAGTTTGTGTCTGTTCACATGATCACTGTACTTAATACTAGTAACTAATATTACTAATAACTAATAAAGACACACAGTAATCACCACTGTAGAGGTGTTTCTCTCTGTAGTCTGTTAAACTGTGTCCTGTGTTCTGTTTATAAGCGCAGGATCCATTTCTCCCGGCGGAATGCGATCGTCTTATTTATGAATTATTTGCGCCTATACGTTTTAAAATTGTGACTGACGTCATTAAATCACCCAGAATATGTTTGTTTCTCTTAAATGATAAAACTCATCACTCAGGAGTGATGTAAAACGTGTTTCGTCTCTCCAGCTCTCTCTGACTTTAATTGTATTCACAATAAAAGTTATTGAGGGAAACATCAGATCATGAAAACACATCTTTCTAATAAATGAAGAAAGTTGTTTGTTGTTCAGACTACAATGAACATTTAAACTAGAGTTTATTCTGTGATCTGTCTTCACTCTGGTGTTAAACTCAGTCAGTCAATCCGATCGGCTGCAGCGTCCAATCACATGACTGATGAACAATGAGGGGGCGTGTCGACCGTTAAAAGACTTCCTGGAAGTCTGTTCTCGTGGTTCCTTGCTCATGGCTCCTCCGAGGTCCCTCCTCCATCCTCGCTCCTCCGAGCTACATTAGAGCTTTGGGGCAGCCGTCAATATGGCGGCGCAGAAACAACTTCCGGTTCGAGCGAGGATCGAGGAAGTGACAATTAAGAGACTTGGGATGTACCCAAGATGTATTTTTGGATTTAGGGTGTCCTTCAAGATGGAGCGCTGCCCTCGAGTTCCGGGTCACAAGCCGAATGAGCGTGGAGGCACAACATCGGGAAATGAGAAAGGCCCGTGTAGTTGCATCACGCACACAGAAACCACGCCCACAGCATCTCCTCACAGGATGCTGATTGGTCCGCTCACTGGCCAAACACACTCATTACTTCAAGCCTGACAAGATGCATTTTTGATTCTGTGAGAGAATTGAGCAAGGTAATGTAATTCAGCCCGGTGCTGAGTGAGCAGAGAGTTTTAATGTATGTTGTAAAACCATTTATGTAACAAAAAACATCTTGGTTTCGACTGCTGTCATTATTAAGGTTAAATCACATAGTTTAAACATAGATGGCCCAGCACACAGAGAGAGCCACTAGAAGCCGCAGCAGAATGCCCATGGACGCCATGGCGCAGCTCACCGACTCAGAGGAACCGAAGAGCCTCCCGGTCATTACCGCTGCAATGACCGGTTCACATCTCAGGCTTCACACTAACAGACCCAGCACATGCGTGCTGCTGCTTCTTACATCGATTGTAGTCTTTAAAGCCGTGTACAACAGAACGTGTCGCAGAAAAAGATGGCTGTTGCAAAAAACGACAGAGCGGGTTTATCTTGTCCGCTGGAAGCCCAGCAGACCGGACTGTCGGCACAAATAACGTCTTCATACGATATGGTCATTGGGGTTACACCCACGGTTAAACGCGACGCGTGGATCGTTTTAAACAGCCAGTCTTATCAGACAAGATGAAGTCATGGCGCGTTTGATGCTGTTTGGATGGGAGACGCTGCTCCTCGCTGTTTAACACTCATCACAGATCTGGTGGGCTCATGGCCCGCGAAGATGCGGACTGATTTACACAAAAACAGTACAAACCTGTTTGACTGAGAGGAGAATCCGATGTCCAACCTTCCCGTCTGCGGCTTTATGCGTTCTCACACCGGTGTTCCGTCAACAGCAGCAAAAGGAACACTTCCGGTCTATGTCAGAAAAAAGCAATTATTCATTATTTACAGTATTTCGGTGGTAATAACTAGGCTACAATTTTCACGAGTGTCTTTGTAATGAGAAAAAAGAAACAAAGAAAACATATCTGGCTGATCTGCTCTACATATTATTCATTGCAGTTTACATAACAGGTGATCATTTGATCTAGTTACAGCATCCCGTGGTTATCACACTCCTGCTTACGGAAGCCCATTTATATCAGTTAGAGAAAAAAAGAAAAGAAAAATGAGTCATTATAACAGATGAAAAAAAATCGTCATAATTATGAGAAATAAATCAAAATTATGAAATAACAATTTTGACATAAAAAAATGTACAGTTTCTGAAGTGTGCACAAGCACTGCGGCTTCCCAGGTTTCTCCACAACCTCCATGACCTACACGTGTGTGAGTGAACTTTTTTTAGGGGCATCTGGGGTCAATCTTTTTTAATTTGGCGTAGTGTATTACACTGCACTGCAATCCTGAATAAGATGCATTATTCTGAATGATTTGTACATTTTAGGCTGCTGTAATGTTTTATCTGGTGTTGCAGCTTAACTAACAACCATGCTTAGTTAGTAGCTGCTGGTGTATCTTAGATAATATCCTTCATCAATAAAGCATGGTTTTGTTGTTCATTTATGCCACTAGATGGTGCCCATTTACAGTGAATGAGATGGGTTAGAATTGAATACTTTCCTGTGATGAGTTGCTCATACAAGATGGTTACATCAGTCTCCAGAGAACTCTGAGTCTCAGCCCCACTGATGATCCACTTTTATGCCCATTTTTGGATTAAGTCAAGTTAGACCAGGAAACAAGAAACAGCTTGTTAGACCAAGAAATTATAAAATGGTCACATTAGACTAGGGAAATGAGACAACGGTCATATTAGATCAGGAAACAAAGAAGAAAACAGTCACGTTAGATTGGGAGACAGTCTGTTAGACCAGAAAATGAAGAACGTCATGTTATACCAGAGAATAGTGTGAGTCAAATGAACAGACGGGAGTGCAATGGCATTAGAGTGTATGAGAGAATATCAACTTAAACAATAGAATGCCAAGTAGCATTAGTGATAACATTAAGGACATTATGCATGGATGAGGTAATGCTATCCCATGCTATGAGACAAATGAAATGACATGCCAATAATGCAAAAAAACGACATAAAATTACACCACCACCAGTTATATGAATAGGTTACCAGACATTTAGGGCTTTAATATCTTTGATTTACGGGTATTGTGTTGAGGTTGGGGCGGATGTGGGAAGGAGGTGAAGGCAGAAGACGTCCAATGCCCCATTTGTTGCAAGGATGGAGATGAGATGCCTTGGTTTGCAGCAGAAGTAGCAGCCCCTATTCTAAAAGAATGCCCTGACTAATGCTGAGGTGATCCGTTGCTCTTTAGTGAGGAATAATGGTAGTTATCCTTGATTTAGACAAAGGAAGATTACTTGGGGTAAGAAATAAAGGAGATGTGGAACAAGTAGTAGGTCTTACACGTAGGTAGTTAATCATGGATTTAAAGGGCAAAAAGAGAGTCTGTACCAGCCAGAATTACAGAGCAGGCACCGCCGCATGCGCTGTGTTTAAGACCTAAGCTATAATGACTAGGATGAAAGGCCAGATCGGAAAATGTGATGTCTCATTTTGGGTTGAAGGATTTAGAAGATGCTGTAAATTCTTCACATCGGAGAAAAGCATAGAAGGCTAATAGAAAAACAGAATTGAGCAGTGCATCAATGTAAGGGGGAAAAACACTCGGAGTTTTGTCAGCATCCTATGCCAAAGAGAAAGAGTAATAGGCTGTCTGCGTTCAATAACTGGGGGAGAAGGTTTAACAATACTGTAATGACTTTAACAAATATCCATTTTATCTTACTGGGGGGCGAACTTGTTTGAACGCGTGTTCTATGTCACAAACATTTCACTGTCCAGTGCGCTGTCTTTCTTTCGATCCGTAGAACCATTTATTCCGTTTGTACATTGACACCATAACAGAACACCACAGGATACTAGATCACAGGATAATACAACACCTTGACACACTACGCTGACAGGCCACATTGACACGTTGGCTGACACAGTCAAAAACTGTTAGCTTCCCGTCCTGGTAATGATTCTCATTACCAGGCACTTACCTATATGCACTTTGAGGTCAATGTGCCACCCAGTGTTCAATGTCAGAACTGCATATGTAAACCCACCCCGTGTTTCCCTCAAAGACAAAAGAAAACAATAAAACCACATTATGTCTCCAACAAATACCTTTCAGCAGTAATTTGGGGAAGAAGGATCGTAATATCTAATATTAAATTGAATGCCGTCAATCAAACTGCGAATATATGGAGGTTTAAAATGGCAAATGTCAATGCAGTAGCAAATGAAGTCACAAACTGTGAGAGGCATGCCAAGAGAAACACAAAACAAAGCGAAAGTACTCCAAGCAAAATCTTGTTTTTACAGTAGAAACTGCTAAACCCTTTCTCATATACTGTACATCTTAGCAGACTCCATATGCTTCAACATGAGGCTTTGAATTAGGAAAGCGTTAGGGTCTGACAAGGGGGAACTGGTACTAATACTGGACTGGCCTCTGGAAAAACACTCCGGAAAGTCTGGAATTAAAAATGGGAAAGTGAATCAGCTTGTGTGTTATCATGTCACAGCCTGTCATGGCACGCTATGAGTGATGGCTGACCATGTGATGCTTTTCATGAAAGGCATGTCTTTGGAAGCGGAGCGTCTTCTGTTGATGATGAGCAGACAAAGCAGGCAACAGCTACAGGGGTAATTCTCATACAGTGCTGAGGACTTGAAAACTGGGAAAAAGAGTCAGAGAGAGCCTTGATGGAACCCCCCCAAACCCACGGATGGCGCGGCATTTTAAGCAGCTAAAAAACGTTTCTGGATCGTTTACTGCTGACTGAAGATTTTTTCCCACATACACTTTGATAGGCATTGTGAGGACTCAGACCCTAAAACCCTGAGACATGTTTGTGAGATGATGGTCTACGAAAACAGTCAGGATGAG